AGGTTGTTGTTTTGCAAAAGACGGCTAAGAAATGTACAAAGTTTTAAAACGCACGTGCTGGGCTATTGTTCTGCCAATTAGATCTATTGTTTTTCCACGTTCTCGTTGCCGTCGCCGTCGGGGTTTGCTTAAATTCCCTAATATCCTTGTCAACGCCGGTCATTAGGAAAAATGTAGAGAACAGTATGAAGATCATGCATACTGATGTTAGAATATAAAGGGGTTAACGGATGGGTCTGTTGTTAATGACGAAGTTGAAACAATTTTTTCCTAGATACTCTGGCTTCAGCCATGACTGAACTGCGCGTTGAAATGCCCAATCTGCATTCGAGTTGAAATGGGCCTTCCTGAATACGTAATTATCAAATATGTTTACGCAACGCAATAGCTGAAACATAAGAATTTGTATCGGAATAAACAGTCGCACTCACAATCGAAAAATCTGAGCTAGTTTTAAATAAAAGCAAACTTGCCTCGCTTAAGTAATTGTCCCTTGGTCCTTAATCATGTGAGTTTTCTTGGGCTGGGCTAAGACTGCTTAGCTCAGTGTTAGGTCCTCTTGAATTCAGGGAGGCTAATTTTGCCAGCTTAGGCTACTTGTTTTTTTTAATTTTATGTCAACATGAATTTGTAGTTACGATTCTTGGAGCAAATTGTAGGTGTTTAACGCCAAAATAACCATGAACAGTAAATCACAGTAAATAAGAGGTGTCTTGTTCAAATGGGCGCTCAAATATGATTGGTTTAATATGACAGCCAAAGACGAAAAGAGTAACTCTCTTTCGACTTTTTTAATCTGTATGTACAGGCACACTATCAAACTGTACAAGATATATGACTTTGCTTTTACGAACAATAATCACCCTTCTATTTAGTGAGAATTGTCCCCTGTTCAATCAAAAATACGAAGATTAACGTCTCTATTAACCACAAAGTGCACCAATGACAGCGCGTGAGCTTAAAACTGCAACGAACTTACAATTGTACAATCAGAAAAAGTGATAATATCTGAATTATTTAATAAAGCGGCTTCGTTTACTTTATAAACACCATTTTGATCGCAATTATTTCCTGGTCAATGATTGGCTCGATTTCTGCTGTTTTCTCGAGTTCAGCCGGCAATCAATCTGAGAAGGACTTCGGTAGAGGTGAGCGCAGGCTCATTTTCCTGAACAGTGGCTAGTAACGGAGCATAATACCGCTTCTGGCGATAATTTTCCCGTAAGATTTATTTCACGACGTGATCACACGATCACGATTCCAAAGAACGATTTGGTTACTACTTTCGGTACTGTTCAAATATAAACCCTTTGCTTTAGGTAAATTCGAGAAGAACTAAACGAAGAATTTGAATTTCTTCCTTTGCAGCAGCAGGAACACAGCTAAACTAAGAAAAAAAAAAAACAGGAACACAACTCGACGTAAGATTTACTGTGCAAATATTTAGTTCAACTTAAGACACTCGTTTCTTCGTTGCTTCCTGTTGCTATAACAAAGGAGACAAAACCAAAAGTGGTTTGCAAAGCACTATCACATCATCTCACTTACGATTTCACGGCTTATTATAAGATTAAAGGGCCAGAATTGAGGGACTTTCAGGGAGGTATTAGGGACCTTAAGCAGTCAGGACGGCAACGCCAAGGAGGACTTCGATTAAAAAATGATTTTCTACTCTTAGTCACAATTTCAAAAATGGCTGCATGAGCTTACTATCTCATAAGGCGCCACAGCTCAACTTCAGCATGACGTATAGAAGTAGCGTTGAGTTCTAAATGGAAATTAGAACATAACTTGCAGAGTCGCGCAATCAAATTCATTATACGTAAGCGTGCTCAAAATGCCGATAGTGCACGCTGATAGCGTCAGCAAATCCGACTTCGCCAGAAAAAGTTTTTTTTCGCGCGAGCGG